AAATAAAATTTAAACCAAGGATAAAATTGAACCACAACATGTATTTTGCAACAAAACAGTAAATGGTAATAACAAAACGCGAAGATGTAAGAAAGCAAGTTTTCTGCAAAACACTCTGAAGAAAACTCCGTCTTCGTGGAAGTCTTTTATTAGTACTTATTCCTTTTTGGGTGGTAGGGGGAAGGGGGTGAGTGCTTATTTGAGTTTGAGTGGGAATGGGAGGGAGGTTGGGCAAATAAGAGGTATGGTGGGGTGGGGGTGGGCGATTAACTTTTTCCATCTTTAGGATGGACGCTTATTTGAGGTGGGCGCTAATTCGAGGTTGGGCGCCTATTCAAATAAATACGGTACCTTAAGATGGCGAGAACGGTTGATTTAGCGATAAAAAAGGCAAGTTTTTGAAAGGTATAATTTGCCTACGTGCGGGCAGATGATAGCATACATCAACTCGTCTACAGTACCGATGACTCAACTGAAGGCAAATGAAAATGTTTTCTCTTTTAATTATTATGTTACATAAAAGAAATGGTAAACATTGTAGCTGTGCATCCATCAAGTTATGTGTGCACTTGGGAGGTTTGCTAAGCACTCAAGATAGCTTAGCAATCTCCCACGTGCATCCATTTAACAAATCAACCACAATTTTCCATGGTCTATTATGGTCTATAAGAGTGTAGACCATGGAAAATTGTGGTTGATTTGTTTTTTACAAAACATTATTCTATTACAAAAAACCAAAAACAAAACAAGCAGCACTGCATGACATGTTACGTCATTTCCATGGTCTATACTCTCATAGACCACAGCTCTTGACCAATCAGCATGTGAGGATTCACTCAGTTATGTTGTAAAAAACGTGTACAATGTGTACAGAATATACATGTTTTCGTGTCCAGTGTTGCTGTAGTAGCCAAATGTTAATAAGTAGAGTTCAGTCTGCTAATTAAAAATAATATTCTGACTTCTTGCATGGATAAATATAAAGAAGACAATCTTAAGTTCAGTGTTGAGGAATCCTGTGGTCCTCAAAGTCTAGCTGAGCACGATGAGGAGACAATGATACCAGTGTACGACTATCACTTTCCCCATCTGCAAAAGGTAAGATGTGACTGTATACCCATGCATACAAAACTTCTGCGTGAGCAAGATTTCAATGTGACAAATGAGCTAGGCTCAGTCTAACAATGTTATAGCTATCTTGTCCCAACTGTCTGTGTCTTAGTCTGGCTATTACACAAATTAAATGTCCTTAAAGGTGGTATGGGGTCATGTGGATTATGGGACTCAGTAGCACTGATTTTATTGCAAACAGTTACGGTGAGTCCTGGGACTCATCTTGTGAAAAATCATGAGTTCCAATGCAGAACCATTGAGTCCCAGTTTAAAAAACATGAGTCCTAAATTGAAAATGCTTGGGCCAGGGTTTTTTTTAAGACAGTTAATCTGAAGAGACCCCAAAATTAAACTCTGTATAATATTACACAATTTTGTACAGTGCAAAAATACACTTCTTCTATTGAAAAGCATGACTAAGACTAAAAGAACATATGTACAATGTCATTAAACAACAGCCACAGGAATCACACAAACACTAAAGGATTAAAATGATTTAAATTTTTCTCCCTTGATTTTTGGTAGGCGCATAGACGCATTAACTGGCTTAATTCTATGGAGATAGGAATTGCACACTGAATAAGTTAAGTGCATTAACTTGTCTAACAAATTATTCAGACTCTTCATTATGATTGTTCACCTGTAACTCTAGACACATCTATTGTACTCGTAGTTACTAAAACAAGGAATGACCTACAATGACCTACAATGATCTACAATGACCTACAATGACCTACAATGATCTACAATGACCTACAATGACCTACAATGATCTACAATGACCTACAATGATCTACAATGATCTACAATGACCTACAATGAGCTACTACGACCGAACGTGTAATCCCTGTAATGAGCTAAAATGAAGATTTTAGAAAAAGATAAAAAAAAAAGATCAGGGGACGTGTGTCGTAGTTACTAAAACAAGGAATAACCTATAATGACCTACAATGATCTACAATGATCTACAATGAGCTACTACGAGCTAAAATGAGTTAAAATAAGCCCTACAATGAGCTACAAAATGACAGACAATGATGTTTGTCGTGTGTCACACTTGGACGTGACACTAGGCTTATAGTATTAAATTACCAAGCACATTTTGAAAAGGCAAAACAAAAATTGTGCCTGATCTCAGGTAACTTGAGAAAGTTGAAAATAGATTATTGCAATTGCGTTTTTACTGGTATAGCACTATTATACCCTGTATTGACGGAAGTCATGCAGGCACTCCTTTAGTATGGGCCGGCAGGGCCGCTGAGCAGGATATGGATTTTACTACTTAGCGTTACAAACAGAGCATCCTGTTGGACCGAAAGCCATTTAAAGGGTCTTATGATGTCTTATACAGGCCAGGGTACTTGAAAAAAAATGAACAATTTTTCTTTTGAACAGGGCCAGAATTTGAAGGCCTCCTTTGTTCATCTCTACCCTTACGTCCCTTGAAGATCCCCCCGGATCGATTGTTGGGGTGACTGTGTTTGTTCAATCTGTTTGAAAAAAAAGACAAAATAAAACTAGTGCGAAAGGTTGCAAGGGATGGTTTGGACAAAAGTCACAGTATCATCATACATGTATTATTACACTGTAAATTTATCTCCAAGTGCAATAATTAGAGATGCTGTCATCGTTAAATGGGCTGTCATGCTGCTTTACGTTTACGCACACATGTTCCCTGATCTTTTTTTTTTTTTGTCTTTTTCTAAAATTTTCATTTTAGCTCATTACAGGGATTACACGTTTGGTCATTGTAGCTCATTGTAGGTCATTGTAGATCATTGTAGGTCATTGTAGATCATTGTAGATCATTGTAGGTCATTGTAGATCATTGTAGGTCATTGTAGGTCATTCCTTGTTTTAGTATCTCTACGCTATTGTACTTTGGCTAGCTGTTAACCTGGGGAAGTACGTTATGAATGTTTGGGTGTGGGAAAGAACTCTTTATTCAGTCAGATAACAATGTTCTTTTGGGTGATCTGTACCAGGGCGGTCCTGCTCTGACCTCATTAATTACACTTTTAAAAATGTTGCTGTCTTCTAACCATAATTACAGGTGGCACCTTGAAGGTAGGAATCTCTTAAAGGTGATTACCCCATACAAACGTCTATAACATTCTGGGACTTTGCACAACTATATCTTCGTTAGTTTTCAGCAAGTCTCTTTAAGTTTGGCAGTTGTACTGATTTTAATGTGTTCTTTCAGCTGTGTTGACATATTTTTCACTAATTGGTCGTAAACTGTACGAGGGTCTGTTGTTCTCCATAGTCTATTCCAGTAAAGAATGTTTCTACAGCTGTAGAAGTTCACAATGTACTATTATATCCCCGACTCTATAGTATAGTTCTTACATTGCCTGTTTGACAACAGTGAACAAGTAAAAATAACTAAAATTGAGTTTCAAGCAGCTCATGTTTTACATTTTTCTGTACCTGTGATTCCACAATACTTCAATTTTTCTGTCTTCTTTCTAGGCACATGGACGTGATGAGCGCATCAGAGGGTACGGTTTTGTCAGGTAAAAATTGTACACTTACTTGTAATAGTGTGTTTGTTAATCTTTCTATAGTTATTCCCCCGTAATTCAACACATTTTACAGTGGATCCCGGTTACTGAGTCACCAAGGGGACATGCCGTAGTGTCCATATCAAGAGGCAGGGTCTGTAAAAGTGGTGAGGTGCATTCGGGGTCGAAAAATAGTTTGCCTCAAACTTTGCCCCATAAATCAACTCACTGTACAATTCCGAAAATAAGCCCTGGAGCTTATATTTTTCAAAGGCCCTTTTTGAGGGGCTTACTTTTGGAGGGGCTTATATTTGGAGGGGCTTATTTTCAGAATTTTACGGTATTTATTAAGTAAAGGAAATGACTTTTGCTTTGGGAAATATTTCAAAATACAGATTTCAGAGCCCTTAACTGTCAAACTGCCGAATACCCCAAATCGGCATCTGGCGAAAGCCAAAATCGCACAAATTTAATAGTGAGCTTGCTTCTCCAAATCGGTTACATTGTTTATTAACATTTTGAATAGCATGTGAGTTTTGAATTTTGTTAAACTGTGTCAGTGTTGAAAAGTTTTAATTAATTTTACTAGCACCAATGAAATTCCAAAGCGCAGCAAAGTACCCCATCTTTACTGGCAAATATGTCGTAAGTCTAGACCTGCCTACTCTGATTTTCTGCTTAAATCAACTAAAGAGATGCTAGGAAGTATAGAAATTTAAAAATATTTCGCGCCTTTGATCTTCCTTTAACGCAGAGACTTTGGACTTTTGGTGTTTTTAAAGACACGACCTCCATCTATTATGCAAATTAGCTTGATCAAGTAATAACAAGAAAAATTTTTGTCACCTTGTTTTTTCCATAACCTAGAAATAATAATCATTTTTTTCTTGCTTTTAGTGGATTTGGAGAAGCAAGCTTAGTAATTAATGTGCATTTTTTTTTTTTTTTTTTAAGAAAGACTTAATTTATTCATCTTCTTGGTTGTTTAATCCAGAAATGATTCAGGTGCATTTTTTAAGAAGGACAAGTTATGCTGCATAAGCCAAAAATAATTGTAAATATCACTTCTCTATCGTTCATGTTTGTTGCTACAAGTATTCAAAACAAAATCACTGGGTGGAACATAACTAAAAGGTACATAAAAAAACCCCGACAAATTCATCTATCAAAGGGGGCTTAACAGTAGCCACATGTACACTATATGGGGTGCGGGCTGGAGGACCTTCAAGACATTTGAAATAAATCAATTTGGTGACAAATGCAAGTTTCTGCATCTCAGGCAGATTCTAAAACGACAGTCGTTTTATCCCAGTAATTAAACTAATATTATTAGTTTCATTACTGGGATATAGCTTTCTTTCATTATTTAGGTAAATCAATTGAATCCTCTCTTTTCAGACTTTAAGATCGGTAGACGCAGCACAACTTTATGGTTTGGTACCCAATCAATATAGGCCGACAAGCCTGAGAAAAGATTATCCTGTTACTGGTGCTAAGAAGGGTACTCATAGCAATGATGATGTGGATCGTGATGATTTTAATACCATGGAATGTGACACTACCACTGCTGTCTTCACTGATGGTGTTAGTAGTGGAACGAGTGACCTATTTAGTGGTATTACGAGTGCTGGTCGAGGTAGTGATATCGTGGAAAGTGATTGTGGTGGTGATTGTCAGAATACCAATCCTGTAGTTGCTACTGGTGGAATTGAAAGTGTTAGCAAGTGGACAAGTGCAATTGTCTTCGGTGCTACGAGAGGTCTTCCTGGTCCTAGTGATGATACCGTGGGAAGTGATTTTAATACCAATGATTGTCAGAGTATCAATCCTGTCCTTTTTTGTGATGACCTTGGAAAGATTACCAGTGGAACTAGTGTCGTTGATGCTGGTGTAACAACAGATGGTCCTATTGATGATATCGTTGAAAGTGATTTTGTTACCACTAGTTGTGACAGTAACAATGCTGTCTTTGCTGCTGATAACACTGAAAGTGGTAGTAGTGGAACAAGTGTTATTGGTGATGTTACAACAGATGGTCCTAGTGATGATACTTTTGGAAGTGATTTTGTTACCACTAGTTGTGACAGTAACAATGCTGTCTTTGCTGCTGATAACACTGAAAGTGGTAGTAGTGGAACAAGTGTTATTGGTGATGTTACAACAGATGGTCCTGGTGATGATACTTTTGGAAGTGATTTTGTTACCACTAGTTGTGACAGTAACAATGCTGTCTTTGCTGCTGATAACACTGAAAGTGGTAGTAGTGGAGCAAGTGTTATTGATGGTGTTACAACAGATGGTCCTAGTGATGATACCTTTGAAAGTGATTTTGTTACCACTGGTTGTGACAGTAACAACAATAATGCTGTCTTTGCTGCTGATAACACTGAAAGTGGTAGTAGTGGAACAAGTGTTATTGGTGGTGTTACAACAGATGGTCCTAGTGATGATACCTTTGAAAGTGATTTTGTTACCACTGGTTGTGACAGTAACAATACTGTCTTTGCTGCTGATAACACTGAAAGTTGTAGTCGTGGAACAAGTGTTATTGGTAGTGTTACAACAGATGGTCCTAGTGATGATACCTTTGAAAGTGATTTTGTTACCACTGGTTGTGACAGTAACAATGCTGTCTTTGCTGCTGATAACACTGAAAGTTGTAGTCGTGGAACAAGTGTTATTGGTGGTGTTACAACAGATTCATTTTAGCTCATTACAGGGATTACACGTTCGGTCATAGTAGCTCATTGTAGGTCATTGTAGATCATTGTAGATCATTGTAGGTCATTGTAGATCATTGTAGGTCATTGTAGGTCATTCCTTGTTTTAGTATCTCTACGCTATTGTACTTTGGCTAGCTGTTAACCTGGGGAAGTACGTTATGAATGTTTGGGTGTGGGAAAGAACTCTTTATTCAGTCAGATAACAATGTTCTTTTGGGTGATCTGTACCAGGGCGGTCCTGCTCTGACCTCATTAATTACACTTTTAAAAATGTTGCTGTCTTCTAACCATAATTACAGGTGGCACCTTGAAGGTAGGAATCTCTTAAAGGTGATTACCCCATACAAACGTCTATAACATTCTGGGACTTTGCACAACTATATCTTCGTTAGTTTTCAGCAAGTCTCTTTAAGTTTGGCAGTTGTACTGATTTTAATGTGTTCTTTCAGCTGTGTTGACATATTTTTCACTAATTGGTCGTAAACTGTACGAGGGTCTGTTGTTCTCCATAGTCTATTCCAGTAAAGAATGTTTCTACAGCTGTAGAAGTTCACAATGTACTATTATATCCCCGACTCTATAGTATAGTTCTTACATTGCCTGTTTGACAACAGTGAACAAGTAAAAATAACTAAAATTGAGTTTCAAGCAGCTCATGTTTTACATTTTTCTGTACCTGTGATTCCACAATACTTCAATTTTTCTGTCTTCTTTCTAGGCACATGGACGTGATGAGCGCATCAGAGGGTACGGTTTTGTCAGGTAAAAATTGTACACTTACTTGTAATAGTGTGTTTGTTAATCTTTCTATAGTTATTCCCCCGTAATTCAACACATTTTACAGTGGATCCCGGTTACTGAGTCACCAAGGGGACATGCCGTAGTGTCCATATCAAGAGGCAGGGTCTGTAAAAGTGGTGAGGTGCATTCGGGGTCGAAAAATAGTTTGCCTCAAACTTTGCCCCATAAATCAACTCACTGTACAATTCCGAAAATAAGCCCTGGAGCTTATATTTTTCAAAGGCCCTTTTTGAGGGGCTTACTTTTGGAGGGGCTTATATTTGGAGGGGCTTATCTATGGAGGGAAATTTGCGTTTCAAAATTGATTGGGCTAGCCTTATAGTTGGAAGGAAATTTACTGTTTTTACTTTGTTTTACTTTGTATTTGAGGGCAATTTCCAAGTACAAGCCTCCTGGGGGGGGGGGGGCTTATATTTGG